TACTTTACATTTTAGGACACATTTGTATGGCACTAAGAATGACAACAATATATTGTCCTTCCATTAAACACATTATAAATAATGTAGTCTTCTGGTCCAAAAGCTGGGGTGTTGTTCTTTGTATATACGTGTGGCAGCGGGGTGTGGTGTGGGCGCTGGCTGCTGGAGCGAAGGGAGTTGCTCGGCCGGAGACCAGACAGCTGACCGGAATCAGGTAATCAGTGCCGGAATAAAAGCATGTCGTAACCTGGTTCTGGTCTGTTTCGCAGTAGGCGGGATCCTGGAAGGTCGCCAAAGGACCTGTGAAGGTTCCCACCCGGGCAACGTTTGAGACCCGCGTACATTTTTGTTTGGAGTTAATAAACGCCTGTGTTCAACCAACCTGCTCTTTCCGTCCCTATTTGAACCCTGTGTGAGCGGAGAGGCTCACAATACGTTTAAAACGTTGAGCTCCAAACCAATCGCCTGTCGGAACAACATCTAGGATGTTAAAGTTACTTTTGCAACCGATACTTACATTGTAAACAACTGTAGAGAACACTTTGATAAAGTATCCACTCAGTAGCATTACAAAAGGTTTACCTCACTACGCTGAGATTGTTTTCTCAGACCGTAAGCAGATTTTCAGGATGCTTTGAGTTCTGCATCTTGGCTCCCAGTAGGCGACGCTGGATTGGAGCTCAACCTCACTTTCCATTTTAATTAACCCTCATTCGCCTGTGGTTCTCTGATTAGAGCTGCAGCCTTGCACTTCCTCTCTTCCCTGAAGCAGAACATGGAGCATCTGCCAGGAAGGAAGCCGCTCTTGACGGACGAGAGGATGGAGGCTGGGGTGGATGCACAGGAAAGTGCAAAAGGTTATTGAGTTTTACAACAGTCAGCAAATTAGGGCTCGTTGGAATGTTTTTCAGGGAGCATCCACGTTCGAGCAACGAGGCTGAATTTTAACCTTGTTCGGACCCTGCTGGTTTGGGCACTGAATGGTTTAGGCCCAAAATACATTTCTGACCTCCTGTTAAATGATGAACCATCCAGATCTCTCAGGTCTTCAGGGACTGGTCAGCTTTCTGTCCCCAGAGTCAGAACTAAACATGGAGAATCAGCGTTCAGTTATTATGCTCCAAATATCTGGAACAAACTCCCAGAAACCTTGATTCAATCCAGGCTGAAGAATTTTCTTTTTGTCGCTGCTTTTAATTGAACTATTCATATCTTAGACTGCACTGTAACTTTTATCCATGTATTTTTTCTTTTAATGTTTATTTTATGAGCTTTNGGGGCCCCCTAGCAACAAAAAAAAATTAAAAAAAATTAAATTATGCAAAAAACATACTTATCACGGCGACGGTGTACTGAGATTATTATTATTATTTTTTTTTTGCATAATTTAATTTTTTTTAATTTTTTTTTGTTGCTAGGGGGCCCCTAGTGGCTGCGGGGCCCTAAGCGGCCGCTTATGTCGCTTAATGGGTCGGGCCGGCTCTGACCAGAAGACTACATTATTTATAATAACAGGTGTTTAATGGAAGGACAATATATTGTTGTCATTCTTAGTGCCGTACAAATGTGTCCTAAAATGTAAAGTATGTCCAGGAGGTGGTGCTTTAGGACAGGTCGTAGAGAGTCCAAAATGGATGCAGCAACTTGCCAACATTGTCAAGCGAACTCTGAGAGCACTGACTTCTTTAAAAGTGTCTGGTGTCAAAGAAGGACACCAATTCCAGCTTCTTTAAGAAATCACCTTATTCTGGTGCGATGTGTTCACTTTCCCAAACAAATGTCGTGTACTTATACTTCTGAAAACAAATCTTAACCAAGCACACCAGAAGAACTCTTGGCGGTTGATAAAAGCATGAAAAGCTTCATGTGAAATTGCTTTGTTTATACTTTAACAACGTCTGCCATTGATCAAGAGTTGCTGTTTTCTCCTTTGTGCTTTCTAGTTGCTCTTGTCTTTGAAAATAATTGGCTATGTGGAAGTGTTTTGCTCAGAGGTTCCCAGAGCACTAAAGTTATTCTCACCTTTGCTGCTACAGTTAGAAACATGTGTCCCCCCTTCTTCATGTCTCTTCTACATCAACATGTGTCCCCTCTTCTTCATGTCTCTTCTACATCAACATGTGTCCCCTCTTCTTCATGTCTCTTCTACATCAACATGTGTCCCCTCTTCTTCATGTCTCTTCTACATCAACATGTGTCCCCTCTTCTCCATGTCTCTTCTACATCAACATGTGTCCCCTCTTCTTCATGTCTCTTCTACATCAGCATGTGTCCCCTCTTCTTCATGTCTCTTCTACATCAACATGTGTCCCCTCTTCT